CACGGCTCCATCGTCGCCAGGTCGGAGGCTTTGATACGCTACATGAAAACCTGGAGATTAATCAGTTGCTTTTCGTGGTCCGTGGACGAGATCATAATCAATGGTAAATAGTAGCTGTTGATGTAAGAGACGACAGGTGTCAGAAGGCTTTGCCATCTAGAGCTCTGAGGTGACGAGTGCCTCGTGAACGAAAGTGACCATTTGGAGACGCTGCTCATCGACAAACCCACATCATCCAGTGACCAATAAATTCTCCAAGTCTAATTTTAATCATTATTTAACAATATACGTCAAATATTTATGCAGTTGATGTGCTCGTCGGTTGAGATACGATAGGACTTAACGGAATGCTCTGAGACCCTCTCCATGTCATGAAATACGTTGTACGCTATTCAAAGGAGGGACTTCCAAGGTCCCATAGCATCAAGAAATTAAAAATACGATGATTAGACATCTCTCCAATTGCCCAGTAGATTGGCCAGAGATAGGGATAAATAATGAGTTGCCTGTGACATTGTGTAGGACCACCAAATTCAACCTCGCAACCTTTGCAGGACTCAATTACGCGTGATTATTTCTACCACTAGGTCATATTCACTTCAGGCGCTGTTTATGCCTTCTAATTGAGAATTCCCATTCTATGAATTCTGGGGTCATATGGTCGTGATGTATTCGTGAATGTTTATTCCACGTTGCACGTGACCCCTTCCAGCTCGTATCAAGCACTGGAGAAAACTCGTCAACCCCTCGTTCTACGACTCAGCCTCATAGCCAGGAAGAGACCTTGGGTTCCAGATAGCTTCAATAGGCTTAAGTAATGCGATCATGATGTGAAGAACTCGAGTTTGCTCTGAAGACTCCTGAGGTCTTCACTTTGCTACCTTCGGTCACAAAGAGGAATCTCAACATCATCGAGATGGAGTCAATTCAGAGTTTCTGTATACTCAATATTATTGGGTTGGTTCACAAGCTCAATTTGATCCTATATTCAGCAGTCGTCTCGAGCTCGGCAGACCGCATCCAGACGCGGCTTCCCTCTATGTCTAACCTCGAGGAATTGACGAAGCGTTTGCTAAGCAACTATGGACAAATATGGGCATTGAAACACTGATATGATGTAAAATCTTCAAGTTTCGGCTTGCAATTTGCATGTTGAAGTCATGTTCGGTGCCAAGACATGTAATCTGCCATGGATCGAAATGAAGCCTTCTCGGGCTCTTATAAGTGGCGAAACGCCGACTTCGACTAGACAATCGTGAAGTAGTATATTAAACTTCCTTAGAGCCCAAATCCCATCCTCTCTGTCTGGAGCTAATCTTCTCAGCCAAGGAAAAGTAATCCAGTAGCTTCCAGGTTGAGTGAAGCTGGAAGTCAGGGGCGAGGACTCACTTACACTGTTCCGTCGATCGATTAAGCACTCCCTACCTTTCAATCACAGGCATGTGCAATGACCAACTCGTTAAAATCTCGTAGCTTAAGCCGTCTGTAGTTAGACTGTGGGGGCTTGATTCATTTATGACAGCATCAATCTATATGGACTTTGCTCACTTGCCTGATCCCACAGCATACTTAAACTCTCCTTCCCCGCGATGAGACAGAGCCGTACAGGTAAGCCTCTGAACCATCACCGAACAGCTTATATTCAATTTTCAACGTCAACATGAAGCTTTCCGTTTTTGCCGGCATCGCTCTCTTCAGCAGTTCAGCTTTCGGTTGGATGAGATGGGAATGTAGACAGACTCCGAACTCGGGCTGGGGCGTAAGTTACTCCCCCATCCTCCTTTTTCTCATGCCCCTTACGATTTACAACTTTTGGGCACAGCTATCATGATCTTGCAAAGACTCACTCATAAATTCCGTAGCCTACGAACTGCTCTCCGGATGACCAGCGTCAGTGCACTACCTCAGCGTGTAACAGCAACGTAAGCACTTCTCTACAACCTCTACGCGTAGTTGCGAGCAGATGCTAAATGATTGGAAACAGTGCCAGCGTGGTGCTCCTTGGAGCAACGCCCGCGGATATGTGTAAGTCTCACAGCAGGCTCAACTCTTGCCCTGCTGTGTGTACATGCTGACGATACTTGTTTTACTGCAGAAACGTAGACCTTAGAGATGCTTGCGACTGCTACTGCTGGAATTGAGGGAGGTGTATATAGCTACAGCCGGCGCACTGCATTCATCTCCGGATGTCCAGCTTATCAACACTATGAGAGAGATCCATTCCCGGTATCAAAGTTGCTTGACAGCGACGATATCAAGATCCCGATGCCTAACTTGGACCTCCAAAGCAATATCTTCTCCCGGTGAAAGTGTACGCGACAACCTCAGCTGCCCGTCAACAAACACATTCCACATTCCAGGCCCCAAAGTCCTAAGAGCAGGCTTGATCGTCTTGGTTGAGCCGTCCCACGACCGCACAGTAAGCACCAACATCTTCTCCTCCTCGCTCCAAACCCCACGCAAGAAGTCAACACCATCAGCCAACGTAACCCCATCAACAAACGGCCGCGCCGAGACATCCTCCGCAGTCCAAGGTCGCTCCCAGATTATCTTCTGACCGTCCTCGACATTCAACCTCGCGTACCCGATCGCCGCATTGCCGGAAAAGGGGTCCATGTGCGTCCACCTCATCTCCTCGTCAAACGGCTCGTCATTACGGGGATAATATAGCCCACCGCGCTCCCACTTAGGCCCTAGCTTCCTATCCGCGTAGTCGAACAACGCCGTCAACTCGGCCTCCTTACCCAGCTCCGAGAGCCACTGGACAGTATACCCAAACATGGGCTTGGTGTACGGAAAGCCCCCCTTCTTGCCCGCCTCAGCTTCCTTTGCATTCCTCACTGCCCGTTGGAACGTTTCTTGCGAGTCCGGAGCCGCGTCGTCCTCCTTGACCAGCTTACGGAACTCGTTGCCAACAGCAGGCGGGTTCAAACGAATCTCGCCTCCGGTGTTGGTGACGTACCCGAGAGCCTGATCGTCGTAGTGAGATCTCACGAGCGTGCCGTTCCACGAGTTCATGAAAGCCGAGCCCCATGCCGTCCAGGCGGGATCTTTGGGTCGGACGGTGAAGTCCTGCCTGACCATCCACGCGTCCGGCAGCAGGCCGTTGGAGCCGACGAGCCCTTTCTTTTCCCACGCAGCTTTGTACTTTTCGAGCACGTCATCCACGACCAAAGTACCCAGGCGAGCGTCCCGAAGACGTATTCCGATCAGCTTGCATGCTTGTCAGTCCACACCTCTAAGTCATCAACAGATTCATGCCGGCACTCACAGGAAACTGGTTGCAAACCACAAACACCATATTCGGCTCACAACAGACCCCGATCCACCCGTTCCCCTCCATCTCCTTGAGTATAGCATCCTGCAAGCTCCCGGCATCATACGAGAACTTCTCCGGACCCATCCCAAAAAACAGCGGATTCCACAAAAACTCCAACGACCCAGGCCTCTCAAACTCATCATCATCAAACAACATCCCATACAACGAGACCATCATCAGCAAATGCCCGCTATACATGATATTCTCCCTTACAACAGGATCAGCCCACGGTTTCCTAAGCTCTTTGAGATCCGGATCCGTCGCTATCCCGGCCATGCTCGTGTTAAACCAGTACGCCCACACGGCGCGCAGGAGCATCTTGTGGATCGTCTGGCGTATGAGCTTCTTGTAGACGCTGCGGAGGGCCGGTTGGCGGTGGTAATGCGCGACACTGGCGGCGTAGGCCATGGTCGCGAGCTGGTAGCGGTAGGCGTCGAGGAATTCCTGGAGGGGCTCTTGCGAGCCCATTAGGTTCCAGTCGTTGTCTGGCTGGGAGACGAGGTTGTGGAAGTGGCGGAGGTGGCCGGCTTGTTCTCGTGTTAGTTTGGGGTGTTTGGATAGGTCTGGTGCTTGTGAATGCGGCAGATGCTGCTGCTGCTTTTCGGTCGACATTGTGATGGTGGTGGTTGAAGACATGGTTACGATTCGGTTCGGTTGCCGTGAGGCGCTCGTTAGAACGGCGGGAAACAGTTATTGAGTCTACAAAGGCGCGAAACCGCTACATTGACCAATTCCTCGCTTCTGCAACAAAGCGGTAGACATCATAGATAAGTCCAAAGGATTCACGGGGTTCGGGTTTGACACGGGCCTACCCGCCCATGATCGGCCGTAAGAAGTCGGACTACACCGAGCCCGACAAATGTCAGACGAGGAGCAGCTGACGAGGACCTAGAAGGAAGGACTGCCAACAAAGACCCCATTCCCGGCACTACTCGGCAAGGGCATTGCGTTGCCCGAGCGCCCGGGAGACTCGATGTCTTTCTTCCTGTTGGAGGATGGAGTTTCCGCAGGCGCGAACTTTAGTTCTGTAGTCGAGCGGGGATATGTCTCCTGTCAGCATCCTTCTCGCTACTCCCCTCGTTGGCTGGTTTTCGATTTACTTGAAGGATTTCCGTTGCCTAAAGAGGGTAATCGTAGTAAATTTGACCGATTGAAGACCGCTATGGATTTTGAGTTGTCATTTACGGGATTTCCTCTACAATGTACAATAAACGTGATTTTACTCTTCGCGAGGAAGCTCATGTGTGAGGTATGAATCACCAACTATCGGAAACCTTTCCCGGACGGCTGGTAAATCTAATTGAGCAAAAAAAAAAAAAAAAGGCCTGAATTTTTATCTACAGGTCGAAGAGTGCTTGGGGATCGAAAGCAAAGTAAGAGGGCCATCTTCGATGCCTCATGATGCCGCCCTAGCAAACGCAATATTCTCAATCAAGGAGTTTCTGGAACCTCAAATGATAGTCATCAATGATCAAAAGAGCTATTTGGAAAACGTTGAAATGATGCAACTCCTAAAGTGTCCCTATCGGCAAAGCATCAAACACCTAAACCCTCATCCCATACCCAAACTCCAGACGCAGACCTAAACTCCGTCCATGCCTTTTTACCCGGTCCGTCATTTATCTTCGGTATCCATAATTCCAAACTCCTAGCAATAGCATCGCCATCAGACACATCTCCCTCACTCAAACTTGCCCGAACCAAACAGCCCATTGACAGCCTGGTGTCTCCTTTCAGCACCCTTCCACTTCCTCGCCTCCCTCCTCTTCTCATTCTCTTGGATCGCCGCGCGGCGCTCATTCTCTCTCGCCAAAGCACTAACACCAGACTTCTTACTTGCGTTCTTCTTAATCTTGCCATCGTCGCCGAAACCACCGCCACCACCGCCACGAGCAGAGAAACCCGCGGCCCCGCCATTGCCAGCTCCGCTGCCGCCAATACCACCGCTGATACTGCCTCCGCCGCTGCCCTGCGAACTCAACACGGACGAGTTCGTCGTCGCGCGCCGGAGCAGCGCGGGGACTCTGAAGCTGCTGCCGCCGCTAGAAGCCGAGGCAGCGGCGTTGGGCATAGCAAAGGCGAGCTTAGTGGATGTCGTCGACATGGTGGAGGATGACTGGCGCTTCATCGTGAGGCGGTCGACGACCACCTGGCGCGAGTTTGTGCGACGGGGGTTCTTACCGGGGGAGTGGTTCTCCTTGTCACCCCCGCGCGAGGGTTGTGCCTCCTCGTCATCCGCCTCGCTGTCCGACTGCGGATCGGTAGCAGGAATCACCTCGTTAAGGTCCTCGAGCAGACTGGAGACGGACTCGCGAATCTCGCCCAGATTAGAGGGCCTCTTGCCGTCCTTTGTCCTGCGAGCGTTGGTGGTGGAGGGCACGTTCGCGGCGTTGGAGGCGAGAGGTGCACGTTGCGCCCCAGGTTGGCTGTCAGGCACAGTAGTCTGCTGCTGCTGCTCCTGGGACTGAGAGTCCTCAGTTTCCGCCGGTTCGGGCGCGAAATCGAGGAAGTCCATCTCCTCGTCGCTGCCGCGGTCCTCGATGGTGCGAAGGAAGGCCTGGTTGCCTGGTTTCTCGGCAATCTTTTTGATGCGTTCGTCGGCGAAGAGGGCCTGCTGCATCTTCTGGAACTGGCGACGCTTCAAACGCCGACGGGCCTCACCGCCGTCATCTGAGTCGGAGAGGTCATAGTCGGCGCCGCGCTTACGACGGAGCATGCCAGTCGTAATGTCGTGGAAGAGCTTGTCTACCATCTTCTCGTCGCTCTGACGCTCATTATCACTGGAGCAATGTTAGCCGAGAAAATTACAAATTAGACAGAAATTACTTACGCGTGAAGAGCAGCAAGTTTGCGCTCGTCATCGGCAGTCATGCCGTTCTCGTCGTCAATCATCTCCTTCACGGAGGCAGCATCACTGTCGTCGTCGCTGTCCTCGCCATCCGCACCTCCAAGTCCAGCGTATTCGTCCTCGGACTCGTCGGCCTGGTCCTCCACCATTTCCTTGGCCTTGCTCTTCTTGCGGTTGTACTCCTCCGCCTTCTTGAGCTGTTTCTGCTTCTTGACGGCCTCCTTCATGACGTTGAAAGCTGTCGTCTTGAAGCCGAACTCGTCGACCTCGGGACTGGCCCTGGACTCCGCGACGTCTTCGTCATCCATGACAGCAGCTGCGATATCGATCTTGCGGCGCAGTTTGCCCCTGCGAACAAGAGGCGACTCCTGTACTGAGTCAACCTCGGCATCGTTGTCGAGGACCATGGTGTCTACGGTCGAAGGAGGCGGCTCGACGAAGCGCTGTTTCAACGGCGTGTAGTCTTGTGGGCCAGCGTCCTGAGTGGCATCCATAGAAACCTGCGTAAACGGCTCGTCGTCACGCAGGAGGCTGTCAAACCCATGCGCCTGGGATTGAGTGAAGTGAAGGTGTACGCCTTCTGCTGAATCCGGCTGCGTCTCGGCTCTCTGGGTGTCGCCGCCCTGGCTATCGAGGATCATGCTGTCGTGTTGTTGGGTGAGGCCCATCAAGTTAGAGTCGGGAAGGCTGTCGAAATCCGGCATAGGTGACTGAGATGGGATCGTGCCGAGAGCTGCCTGGCTATCATCCATTGTACCAGCAAAGATCTGGGTAAGACCTAGCCCAGCGGCTCCTGTAACAGGCAGTCCAGGAATAAATGTCTTCTTCGCAGAGCGCAGTACCGAGGTGGGGACGGCGGGTGACTTGGTGTTGGGTGCAACGGGAGATTGTTGAGTTGCAGTCCTGGGCCTAGGCGTCGCCTCGATTCTGTCCTCGTCTTCATCGTCCGAGATGACCTGGCTCTTCTTTGTTCGACGGATGTTGCGCGTAGGAAGACCCAAGTCGTCTTCAGACACGGGGTCATTCTCGACTTCTGAAGCATCAGCCTCGGCTTCAGGGTGCTCTGAGCCGCTATCGTCAGCTTCGTTGTCGAACAGCGCAACACCTTCCATCTCCGCCTCGGAGCCATCTTCATCCACATCGGCATCCTCGTCTTCAGAGCCAGACAACTCAAGCTCAACCTCAACGCCTCCCTCCGCCTCCTCTTCGGAACCGCCGTACGACTCGTCGTCGCTGTCGTCCCAGACATCGAGCTCGCCATTCTTCCTCTTCTCTTTCTTCTCCTTCTTGGCAGCTGCTCTCTCGCGCTCCATGATCTCCTCGGCTTCCCTTCTGGCGCGGGAGACGATGTCCTCAACCTCTTGCATCTCGCGCTCACGCTCCTCGGCGGTCTGCACGACGATGCCCTTTGACTTTAAGTACTCGACTCGCTTTTCGCGCTCCATCTTGGCCTGCTGGCGGGCGCGCTGCTGCAAAGTCATCCGCAATTGAGCCGTGGTGATTGTTGCCTTTTCGTATTTTCTCTTTCTCTCTTTGGTTGGCGATCCCACCCGAGCGAGGCGGCGCAGATTGAGTAGAGATCGAGATCCATCTGCCTTGCTTCCAGGGGCCCTGTTGAAAATGGCATCGAATTTGCTGTTTTTGGCGATGGCCAGATCATCATCGTCGTCAAGGTCGATGACTGCATGGTTTACTGAGACTGAGGGCAGCTTGATGCGGACTTGACGTCGAGGTTTAACGTCTTTGACAACCGTCTCTTCGGGAGACGCAACGGCCTTGGCCTTGCCTTTGTCAACTCTTCTCGATGCCTCGAACACGTCATCGAGGGAAGGTATGCCGCCATCACCATCGGAGTCAACAGTACGCTGCGCGACGGTGGTGGGCTCTTGAACCTTTGCAGGAGAGGCAGCCTTGGCGACAGGCGGGGAGCTAGGCGGTGTCTCGGGGTCCTTCATCTCAGCGTCGGTCTGGTGCGCCGAGACAGGCGTGGTAGGGCGACTGGAGCTCGACAGCTTGGGATCAGGCTTGGGTTGAGCTCCGAAGTTGAACCTCTGGAGGAAATCCGCCTTTGTGAATTTCTTTCTCGTCTTGGCCTCGTGGGCAAGCTGCATGTTACGGGCCATGCGCTGGGTCTCGCGAGCCATCTCTTCGACGGCTTTCTTCCCGGCCTTCCTCGTGGGCCTTACGGCCTGGCTGAGCTTCCGGCCGCCCTCGTCGTCTGTAATATCGGAGACGTTGCCAGCGTCATCATCGTCGTCGAAGAGGTCGACGTTGCTGGTGGGCTGGCGCTCCATTCGCTCGGCACGCTTCTTCTCCTCCTCTGCTTCGCGTGTGAGTCTCTCTTGTTTCTTGCGCTCGACGAGTGCCTGGAACCTGGCATTCTTTGTAATCGAGGGGAGTGAGTCCGAGTCGGAAGCGTCATCGGCTGTTATTGTTGCAGGCTTGATGGGTGACTGGCGATCCGGAGACACGAATAGTCCAGGACTCGACCGTGCCGCTGGGCTCTGTGGGGGTGGCGGCGTGGTTTGTCTGTCCTGCTTCCTCTGCAGTCGCCGTGGTGCTACCGGAATGTCATCTTCTTCCGCGTCTCCCATAATCGCGTCCTCGTCCTCTTCGTCTGCATCTTCGTCATTGTTGGACGCCAGTCGTCTCTGAATTCGGTCTAGGAAGCTCTCGGGCTTGTCTTCTGCGTCTGAAGGCTCGGCACCACCCTTGAGCTGGGCAGCGAGCCGTCCTCTGGGGCGGAAGACGACTTCTTCTTCCGAGTCGCTTGCCTGGGTGGCTTGTGGTGGTGACTTGCTCTTCTTGCGGGTTTGTTCGGGTTCGTCGTCTTCTGAACTGGTGTCAATGGCAGCCAAACGGGCTTCCATGCGTGCCTTCATCGTCTCAGGTTCCAGACTCGCGCTGGGAGAGCGCGATGCGGCCTTCTCAGAAGCCATGGTGAATTGTGGTTGTGATTATAGAAAGGCACAAAGCGGGTATCAAAACATGAAAAGATCAAAGTGAAGCTGCTCGAGTTACGGTGTACTTGCAGGTACCGATATTGCGTGAAGAGTGTTATGGTAGAGTTGGGTGGTAGATGGTGGGTAGTGGTGGTATTAGTGGAGTGAAAGTCAATTAAGAGCTCTTTGACGCGTCTGGCCGACGCGACGTGTTGGTGTGCGCTATGGGACGAGACGGGGAGCTTATCGCGAAACGCGGCGCCACTAAACACGCCGATAAGGACCGCTACAGTGACACGGGACCCACCCGGAGTTCACACCGAACGGAGCTTTTATCGATAAGTACCGCTGTAGATGGCTTCGGTGACCTCACCTACAACTGAAGACTGAGGTGATGAGCACCAATTTACTGCAGATCAATAAAAGAGATTGGAGCGTAAGATGACAGTAAGGTATGTTTTGTGAATCACGGCCTTCTGATGTGGTGTCCATCTCGGAGTCACGGATACACGTGAACCCTTCCATCTGAATCCACGAGAAGGGTATATATCCCCCCTCAACTCCATTCCTGTTATCAGCACAGCAGGCGCCCTCTAGGTCGGGTGTCAGGTCAAACTGGACTGGGTGGCGGAGTAGTCTAAAGTTAATAATTGCATTACGCCCACAGCCTACTCGACGACAGGCTCCAAGTTCGAGTTCGATTCCCAGCATGAGCACCAAGAGATGCAGCCCCCAATTCAGAACCCAGGGGGGGGGGGGGGGGGGGTTGGACTGTTTTTTTGTCTTCCTTTAGTATTCAAATATCACCGCTGACGGACTCAAACGCTCATGCTTCATCCTGTTTGTATGGTTTGAGCTATAATCCGAAAGCCATCCAGAATAATCATCAATTAAAGGGAAAGTGCCCGGGGTGTTCGAGTGGTTAATGCCACCCCTTCTCTTTTCGAGTCCAGTAATAACGCGAGGCCCTTGACGTTTAGTATATGTCTCTTCCCCACCCATTATCCAGCCAACCTCGTCTCTATATCCCTCCCCTTCAGCCCAGGCACCCTCTCACCAACCGACTTTGCAAATGTATCCACAGACCACGCCCTCCCATCATCATTATACCCAAAATCTAACACATAATACCCAACCATAACCACCAAAATCAGCGGCGCCGACGTCACAAAATACACCCAGAACAGCTCGCCCCCAGGTCCAAAGGGCTTCTCAATCGAAAACACAGAAGCCGTGTACGCCAGCGGGATAAAAACCAACCCCAGCAGCGTCACCGCCTTTGTGCTCTTGGCTTCACGAATGCTCCGCTGCTGCTCCTTGTACGCCTGCCTGTTTCCCGTGATGCCTGCTAGCCCCGTCACCGCCGCGTTGAGCGTCTCGGCGCGATGACGCAGTTCCCGGAACCGGAGGTGTAGGAACTGAAAGTCCGCCGAGCAGTCTGACCACGCCGCTGTGCTGTTGTCTTTTCCAGTGGATTGCGGTGGTGGCATCGCAGTGGTGGTTCCGGCCACTGCTGGAGGTGTTGGCGACAGTGGGATCCCGAGTTGTAGCATGATCCCCTCCACGTCCTCGAGATACTCCCCCGTCCGCCTCTCCCAACCCTGCATATCACTCCAGAGCGCCTCGACTTTGGTCATCGGCAGCTTCGCGAGGTCCTGCTTGCGCGTGAGACCGCGCTGTACTGCAGATAGCGTAGCGCGAAGGTGCTCCGTCTGCTTGAGCAAGTGTGAGGCCACAATCTTGCTCAGAAAGACGTTGACCACGGATTCCGGGTCCGTGACTTTGACTAGCTGAGAGTGTGTCTCGAGGTAGAAGGCGAGGTCTTCCAGCATGGAGGTCCTCGGGGGCCCGCCGTGATGGTGACGCCCTCTTTCTCTGGCGACGCGGATTTGCGAGTCTTCGGGGACGAAGTCGAGGTAGCCACCCTGGTATGGCCAAGTCTTGACTTCGTGCTCTATCTTGTAATCATCTCCCGTCCGAACTCTTCGCACCGGAGGATCACAGAGAACAAGACCTGTATGTCGTCAGTATCTAACATAGGGGCGGGGGAAGATGACAAGCAAGGCTCACAATCCCACCCACCACCCTCACCCCTCCTCGACCAAACACCACACTTCCTCCTCACAACCCCGACATTCAGAAATCGATCAAACTCGTCCGGCGAATTATCCCACTTGAAATCCCGCGAGACCCCAATATGCCGCCCCGTCGCCGCACACACCCACCGAAAACTCGTCGGCCGCGTATCAAACGTCACGACCTCGTAGTACTTCATCACCACGTGCCCGCGGGCCCGCAGCACCGACGGCAGCTGCGCGCCGTCGCTCTCGCCCGTCCAGTTGACGTTGTGCACGACCACGCGCTCGTGCTCGACGAACACGGAAGGGTGCAGCGCGAAGTGATGTCCGAAAACGCCAGCGAAGCCGGGGCCGAGGCCCTCGAGGATGTAAATGTTTTGCTGTCCTTGCTGTAATGTTGCGTTGTGGAAGTGTGCTTCTAGGTCGGCTGGTACTTCGAACTGTGCCGTTCTGGTGAAGGCGCCGTTGTCTCCGAGGGTGAGATTGACGACTCGGACTCCGTCGTCTGTAAAGGGGATGCGCTGGGTTCGGGCCTTGGGGTCTCGTTGTCTAAGTCGAGGGTCTGAGAAACATAGGGACCGGACAAAGTCGTCGTAGTCGCCTTCAGCAAGCCATCCTCCGTCCTTCTCCATGTTATTCGATTGAATCCACGAGCCGATGTGTCAGTTTGGCCAAGTCTTAAATGAAGAAATTGGGGTACGTCAATAGCAATGAATGAGAATTTGCAGACAGCAATGTATGAGCGTTGAGTGAGACGCTAACAAGAGCTGCGAGTCTTGCAATCAATCCTTAAAGCCAGAAGTGATCTCCCAATCGAATTCGGGGATAAATGAGTAGAATTAAGGCTGTCAAGAGTAGAGCAGGCTGCCGTAAGATCGTTCGGTCTGTGTTCGAAGCGGCTGAGAGCTGGTGGGAGGGGATTGCAGTCATGCTTCGCCATCCGCCCTGAACTGAAGCTACAGAAAAGTGACTTGCCCGATTGGGACACCGAGAGTGGCTTCGCTCACTTCCGACATTGAGGCTGCCTACGGGTGTCACCCTCATCTTTCGCCAACAAGAAGTTCCATCCTCGCGTGCCCTGAAAATGTATCTCAGGTTCCCCAAGCGCGATTCTCTCGCTAGATACCTGGGCAGCGCAGCCCTAAATATGCCAATTTGAGTGCTCCTCGTCTTCTCGATTGCCATACACCAATGATTACACAGCCCTCATCATCGAACTGCCTTTCTATGATACCAACTGAAATCACGGCTCCTGGAACTATCATCCCAACATAAACTCCTTTCTTTATGCGTTGTATTGGCTCTGTGCCTTGATTGCCTCGCCAATGTTGATCCAGTCGAGCTTTTGTCATGGGTCAGCCTTGCACAAACAACACATTGACGCCGTGCTAACATGGCCACCTCGGTGTCCAAAAAGAGAGGAACTTACCAAAACTACACTCGGTGTCCTTCCCCACATGCCTCTACACAAGTTGACTTGCTTGTCAATGGACGACAGGGAATTCGTCTTTGGTGCTTCTATTTGGTTGGGGATCTTGATGCCTGCGAAGAGCTCAATGTCGAGGAAGTGGTTGACAAGATACATGTAGCCATTCGGATCTAGACCTTGCGGCCGGTCGATATTGCAGCTGGGGAAATTTGAGTTGGTCTCCCCGAAAGGAGTCTCCCAGTAATATTGAAACTCGTCGAGAATGTAATCGACTTTGCTCGTATCGGCATGATAGTCTGTCTTTATCAGTCACTGCCGATGAGTCGTCGCAGGCGATTCAACAACATACCCATGAATACGACCAGTCTCGTCCCATCATCAATCAGGGTCTGGAGTGTAGGCCACTGGTCTATGGCCACTTTCTCGTCAGGCTTGAAGACGTACTTGTCCAACCCCGTACTCTTGAAAGTGTCGCCGAATTGCGTGACCGGCATTGCGTCAATGTTTGTTAGAAGCAAAGTGACCACTTCCCGCGGATGCGCCTCTATCCAAGTGGTTATCTCTTCGAGATACTTGGACAACGGCCCAGAGTCTAACAGAGCGCAGTCCGTATGGCACATCTGTATCTGACCGTCCTTGTTTTGAGTTTGAGCTTGTAGGAAGCGTACGCCGAGATCAAGCTGGTCTGTTACCGATACATATTGATTGTGGGCCGGAGTGATGCCAACAAAGGCACTGTTGTGGGATCCGACAAACGTCACGTCAGAATACTTCTTTCCGCAGAGAGCGTCGTTGCCGTTACAAGATGCTGCGACGACAACGCCCACGAAGGCCGGCAGCAAGTATGCACCGCGCATAGTGATGTGACGACGATAGACAACGGCGAGGAAATCAGAATCGGCATCTTATTGAGGGTCGTAAGACCGAGTATATGATCAATGTAATCGAGCCCAGCAATCTTTCAGCCGTCAGGGGCCTGATGATAGCTTAAAGTGACATCTCGGACGGGCTGGCGAATCAGATGTCATATTGGACACCTGCCAACATTCTGAACGAAGACTTTGGGAGGCTAACACGCCGAATCTGGAAGCGCCTGTTGATCTAGAGCTGAATGACCCCTCGTAATGGAACGGTCCGACATGTGGGCGATGGCACCCAAGAGCCTTGTCTCTGCGGGCTATTGCTGTTGAAGTGAAGGCTCGTGTTCGTGTGATTGGGTCATGGTGTATCCTGGAGATCAGGCAGGTGGGATTAAGACGGAGAGGGGTTTTCGAAAGCTTGAGATGCCTGTCCAGACGGGCAGCTTTGCCACATCCATCGACCAGTCAGCAGGATTGGTTTCTGTAAAGACAATGCCACATGCTCATTCAAAGATGGGCGTTGGACTTGCTGTCGACATTTGGGAACTGAATGTGAGGGGAATAGAGGAGCAGTTATCGTTTTCTTGGCATCGGGATAAAGTCAACGTGGTCGGCATTTTGAGGCCTCAACGGTGTTTTGAGTCAATGATGATTGGCCCATTACTGTCCACGGCTGCCAACGTCATGCGCCACACCTCTCTTGTTGGAGGACATTGTTGTTGGTGACAATGGATTGGCTGTTGCGAGAAGAAGTGAAGAAAAGAGGCCTGCTCTGATCGTTAAGTGAAACAAGCAGGTTGACGAATGACGGTCTCTGGACGGGCAGTATCGATATGGGCGGGTGGCGGCAGTCATCAGGGCCCGGCAGGCGCAGAGGGGGATTTCATGGCGCTAACGCCGGTAGTGGCAGGGGCCGTTCAGGGGAGAAACTCTTGGTGGGCAGCGGGCATCCACACTTGCTGACCTTATTCGCTGGGGCCATCTGCAGCTTCATGTGGCTGCCCTTTTTTTGCCCTCTTCTCCTGCCCTCTTTGGCAATGTGATCTTCCTCCCAAGAACAACGTCACGAGAGACTTCGTTGCAACTACAACCCTCAATGTCGACAACTCGACGACTTTGGTCATTGCGTCCATTGAGTCTTTGGTGTAACACAATCCTTCTTCGCACACGTGGGTCATCTTCTTATTTTGGTCCATTCTTGCACTACAGAGGCTACACAGATTCTGCCTGTGTTGTGACCATGTTCACGATGCTCTCTGCTTGGTGGGGACCGCAAGTGCCTACAGTCAGTCGGAGCTGCAATAACTTTGCCCAAGAAAACATATCCATCTCGGGATGACTCCAGCTTCGTGGCAGTCTGAACTTGTGAGGAGCTACAATTTTGACGGACAGACGTTGACGACGAGACGTGCCATGGGCGGTTATCGTCCAGGCGCCTACGCGGAAGCATGCACGGCTCACCTAAGGCGATATTTCCTCTGGTATGATGCTCCAAAGCAAGGGAATCTGGAAGATCATCCTTATGCCGCGCTGAGCATATGTGAACCTTACCGAACACAGAACAGGGTTTCGTTCAACCAAGGTATTCACCAGTCTCAACGCCTTTTGTCAGGAAATCGTCGCAACTGAATCAGGATTCGCGCTATTCATCCCTTCACCACCTAAGTCTCCGTCCCATTGAAGCAATCGTGAGGCGCAGCACTCGTCGTACTTCGGACGAAGCCAAGACATGCAACCTTACGGGCAAAAAGACCTCGGATCGTGACAATGAGATGCTTACCAGGGCTGAAGGAGGCCCCCTTCGCCTTATTTGTCTGGCTAGCCTCCACCGATGGGCCCGTTCTAACCGATAGCTCCGTCGTTGGGTTGTACGAAGCTAGACAACCTTAAGGAGATCCCGGCAGTCGTCTTCCAGAGTATGTCCATTTAAAGGCAGAATACCTCGGTCATTTCTTGTTCCCGGTCCTTGCGAGATCTTTGGCTGGGCTACCCTGATCATGATCGAGCACATCGACCCGGACTTTGGGGTTTATGGTACGCGTACAGGATGACGAACACGTTGAACCCAACAATCTGGGTCTTCATCTTGCTACTGCGAGCTTGGAAAGATTTGGGTATCTGAAAACCCGGGCCGGGTTTGAAGCAGTAGGCACGATCTGGTTGTCGAAACTCATCCGTATACTGCGAAAGAATTGCACTGATCGATGAGGAGCCTCAACGCTGGTGAAAGCCGATAGAAAGACTGTGTGGACACCGAAAGCGAGAATGCGATGATGCCGCGAAGGGGTTCACAGATCAGCATGGCTTCCAAACCCGACGAGCGTGCAGCCATGACAATTCATGAGACAAGCGAGAGGGAACCCACCATGACCAGGTCGAGGTCTGGGGATCACCAAAACTAAACAAACTCAGATTGCGACCCATCGAGGCTGCAGATTTCTCACCTGTGTCGCAAAAGGGAGCTAAGTGGTCTGCACAGCCCTCAGAACAAGCATATCCGCCGATCGACGTCATCCCCTTTTGGTTATGCTTGCTTTCTTGCGCCGCGGATTTACCGGCAGATCCCCCTCAGTCCCTCACACCGTCAACGACACCACCTTGTCCACCTTGTCCACCTTGCCGGGGGCCGTCAGTCGGCTAAACTACGCAGAGGGCGAAGAGTAAAGGGCAAAGGGCGAAGAGGGAAACAACCGTGCGCATCGTGGACGAAACATGGAATTCCTCCGACGTCCGAGTTCGTGCCTCTCTTTGCCTAGAGTTTCGCCAAGGGCTGTCAATCGGCTCGTCGAAGGCTTGTCATAAGTCGACTCGAGACGGCATCCCATTGCCGAGCTTTCATCCCGCCTACTGGTCCTGCCAAGCCATGTCAGCGGCCGGCTGGAAATGTCACAATGTCACGTCGTTCACGTCTCTCGATGACGGTTCGAAGTTTGTCGTGAACTATCTTCTGGACAAGATCCCACCACCTCAGACGTAGGTATCTAACTTCCATGAGTAATATCGCCCCAACTCCTTATGGAGAAGGGGACCACAATCTAAGTCTATCCGTCTTCTTTCCGAAGACCGAAACGAAAGCGGAGTCTTATCTACCTTGTGTACGGACAGAATCTCTGCCTACTCTCAACTTCTACCTCATATGTCCTTCGGTCTCTGAGTGGAACCTGGCCGCGGTGAGTCGAGCTGTGTCGAGCTGTGTCGAGAGATCCGGGGCCCTTACCCAACAAGGCATGGTGGCATGGCCTCGACGCTCTCCCGTACTCGGAGTATGGAGACCTGAGGGGCGCCCACTTACCTCCCGGAGCTTCCTGAACACGAATGGAGACGCTTCTCTCGCGAATTCCGTGGTGTTTGGCCCCGTCTCAACCTCCATCAGAATCAGTCAGCGGCGTATCTGGCCCAAGCTCGCTGGCCCTGGCGAGCAACCTCACACGCCTCACGTTTGAGGATCTACACCATCCTAGCGTCGTTCTCAAATCTTTTGCAGAATGACATGGGATGGCCCTTGTTATTCCCAGGAACGCTCCCGCCGCTAAACCTTGTCCGACATCATCGTCGCCCTCATCGACGCCGAGCCCCAAACAACCGTGGAGACTCCTTAGCCTTACTCCTGAAGAGAGCCTCCTCGCTTCCCCACAACCATGATTTTCAAAGATCTGCCAATCGGGTCAGAGATCACCAATAGCTTGTTCCTGCATAATCAATTCTGGCCGTCTTTGCCGGAGGGAAACTGGACTCGGTCTAACTCCCTGGCGCGTGGCGTTTCTCTCTTGCCTGGTCATCGCTCAGGACCCGCAAACCCCTTCGAAACGGTCACAAACCAATCGCATCTTTCGAAAGCTCGTCTTTGCTGGTGCACACAGCCTGCGTCGTCCAGTCGTCAGATCAATGCTTCAACTGATCTTTCGTGAGAAGTCAGCGGCAAGATGCTTCACTCAGGAGAACGCAACGGCTGCAATCCCTGGTCTTGGGAACTGGGCCCGTAGTTTGCCAAGCCCCATCAAATGTCTACCAAGACTGTCCAAGACCTGTCATCCAGAGTATCGACAAGTTTGTATAAGAATCACTCGCATGTCCGGTCAAACTTTCATCTTTTCCCTTCTCATCAGCATCTCATCTTCACTTCAGCCTTCTTTCATCTGCCTTTCTTTCCGACACGAGCCCGGAGCTCCTACACGGCCTTTTACACTTTAATAGTACACATTCTTAGTTCTACTCAACTTTCACCAATCTTTCAACCGCCAAAATGAAGTACGGCTCAGCTCTCCTCCTCGCGGCCTTCGCTGCCACCAACGTCTTTGCCCACGGCGTCATCGACGGTGTTCAGGGTGCCAACGGTGTCAACCTTCCCGGTCTTTCTTGTAAGTCAAACACATCAGAACGATACACAAGAGCTTCAACTAACACCATTCAGTGATCGATGACACTCCCCGTGATTGCGCCTCTCCTCGCTGCGGCTCCGAGGCCGATACTTCCATCATTCGTGACCGCGAGCTCGGCACCGCCAAGGCCTCCGCTCTTGGCCGCACCCAAGGTGGCGGTCCCGTCGACGCCGCTGCCATGATGCAGACCTTCATGAACGGTGCTGCCGGCAACACAACCGCCACCAAGGCTGCCCGTGAGATCCACGAGGCCAACCTCGCCCGCCGCTACGCCAACATCGCCGCCCGCCAGGCCGGCAAGGGCACCAAGACCCCCAAGGGCACTGTCGAGACTGGTGTCAAGGCCGCCACCGGTATGGCTGCCCAGCAGGGCATGCCCACCACCGCCGACGATGGCACTATCTCCATGACCTTCCACCAGGTCAACCAGGACGGCGCCGGTCCCCTCAAGGCTGACATTGACGGCACCTCCGGCGGCACCGACCCCACTGCCTTCAAGACCGCCGAGGTCACCCAGAACGTTCCCGGTATCGGTATCGGCGGTCTGTCCGGTGCCTCCACCATGGACTTCCCCGTCAAGGTCCAGATGCCCGCTGGCATGACCTGCGACGCCAACGTTGGTGGCGCCAGCAACGTCTGCGTCGCTCGCCTTCGCAACGCCGCCCTCGCCGGTCCCTTCGGTGGCTCCGTCGCCTTCACTCAGTCCACTGCCGCCCGCAAGCGCGCCGTCGAGTTCAACCTCAAGAAGCGCTCGGAGCGCCGCTCCGCCCGCGACTTCAAGGCCTAAAGTGGTTTCGCA